AGCAGTGTAGAGAGAGAGAGAGCACAAATGGGGAAGAAGAGGAAAGGAAATACTAGACTTTGCTTTGGACTCCAAAACCAGTAAAAACTAACACCAAGCAGTTCACCAGGGCCCCAAACTCCAGACTGGTACCTGTAGCTTGAGGCTCCAAGTCTACCCTGACACCAGCCAGGATCCCACAGTCCCAGGGTCCAGGCCTGTGCTATGGGCACTGTCTCTAGGCTGCCCCAATGTGGGCTGCCCTCAGAGGAACAGAGGCTCCAAATTGACCCCAGGGCCAGGCAGGCCTCAGGGCTCCAAGCTTCAGCCTGCCCCAGCACTAGGTCAACACCCCTGCCTAAAACACCAGGAAGGCACCTACAAAGGCTAAAAGCCTACCCAGTGCCACCTTCCAGGCCAACCCCTACAGCCCCAGACTCCAGCAGATATGGGACCCAGGCCTATCCCTTTAGACTCCAGCACTGAACATGCTCCCACAGATCCTGGCTTCAGCACTGACCCCGTATATCTAGGTGCCAGGCTGGTCCCCAAGGTTCCAAGACCCAGGCCAGCCCCGATGGTTCCAAGTACTAGGCCCGTGTCTGAAATCCGGCCTCAGGCCAGGCCTCATAGCCCTAGGCCTGATCCAGCAAGCCCAACATCCCAGTGTATCCCAGTGCCAGACCAGACTTCATGGACAGAGTCTCCAAAAGCATCTCTGTAAACTCAGGCACCAGAACAGAATCCATGGCCTCGGGACCCAGACCTACTCACATGTAATCAAGTTTCACTGGCTAGCGCCTACAGACTCAGAATCAAGGACTACCCCAGCAACCAATCAGCCCCATAAACCCAAGTTTCACATAAGCTCCTATATGTAAGGTTCTAGTTTGCCCTCGTGGACCCAGGTTCCAGGCTGAGCTCACAAACACAATCAAAAAGTCCATTCCAATGGATCCAGGCTTCAGGCACAACCCCGTGAACCCAGGTGCCAGGGCTACCCACATGCTGTCTTAGACAGCAGGCCAGCCTTCCCACGGACTCTAGTAGCAAGTCTTCCCTTGGGCCACACCAGATGGTCTATCCAGAATCCCTAGATGGGCTGACTGGTAAGGAGCTTTCCCAGGCAACCTCAGGTGCAAAGACTAGGATAGGTAGCTACTTCTGCACAGACATCAACATAAGGCAACAAGAAACACAATAGTAACAAGGAGCCATACCACCACCAAAAGAACTTAAACATATAGAAGAGATTCTATGGTTATGGATAGGAAGACTCAATATAGTCAAGTTATCAGTTCTTTCCTCACTGGATCTGAGGATCCAATACATTCCAAATCAAAATACCAGCAAATTATTTTGCAGACATAGACAAACTGATTCTTAACCTCATATCAGAGAGGCAAACAGCCCAGAATAGCCAATTCAATATTGAAGGGGAAGAACAAAGACGCCAGAGCTACCTGACTTCAAGACATACTATAAAGCTACAGTAGTCAAGACAGTGTGGTATCAGTGAAGAAACAGATAAAACAGATCTATAGAACAGAATAAGAATTCAGAAACACTCCACAAAAATATAGTTAACTAATCTACAACAAGGGAACAAAGGCAATGAAATGGAAAACAGAAGACTTTCTAGGAAGTGGTGCTAAAACAACTGAACAAACATGCAGAAAATGAAATTTAGATGTAGACTTTCTACGGTTCACAAAAATTAATTTAAAATGGATCACAGATCTAAACATAGTATGTGAAATAATAAAACTCCTAGAATATAGGATAAAATCTACATGACCTTGGGTTTGGCAATGACTTTTAAAAACACACTACTCTTTTTTAAAAAGTATATTTTATTCATGACAGAGAGCATGGACACATGCCTAAGACAAAGACAGAGGAAGTACCTTCAACAGGGTCTCATGCCACACTCCTCCTTCCCCAGTCCTTCAGCCTGTCAGGGTCTTGGACAAGCACACATGAACCCAGTGTTTCAAGCCAACCCAGGGGTCCAAACCCATAGCAGGACATGTGGCTCTCAGCACTACAGTGCAGCCTGCTGCCAACTGTGCCATCAGGCTGAGCCAGCAAGGACTTTTTTGATGTAATGCCAAAATTATGATTCATGAAAGGAAAAAAATTGAGAAGCTGATTTTTCTGAAAAGTAAAATTTTCTGCTCTAGAAACACACTGTGAAGAGAATGTAAAGACCAGCCATGGACTGGGAGAAAATACTTCCACAAAACATGAGACAAAGGATTGTTATCCTTTGGGCCAGCTCCATGACCTAGTGGTCAAGGAGGCCAAGATCCCACATGATTGACTGCATGATTTCAGTCCCAGACCTGGTAGCCTGAAAAACATGCTGAGTGCATGTGTGTCCATGCTCAAAAATCTCTAAAGGAGAGGGAGATGAAGGAGAAGGGATTGTGACGTAACCATTCCCCATGAGGAGTGCTTTCTTCTATGCCTTTCTGTCTCTGGTGAGCATATGTGCCCTCTAGAAAAAACTTAAAAAACTTTAAAAAAAAAAATACCACATTGTTATCCAAAATGTATAAAGAACTCTTAAGATTTAGCAATAAGAACACACAGTCTAATTTTAAAATAGGCCTTAAACCTTAATGGACAAAACTTTTCCAAAGAAGAAAGACAGATGTCAAATAAGCACATGAAAAGTTACTCCACATTATGTGTCACCTGGGAAATGTAAATGAGGTACTACTACATATTTATTAGAATGGCCAAAATCCAGATCTGACAACACCAAATGCTGGTAAGTATGTGGAGCAAGAGGAATTCTCAATCATTGGTAGGTGGAGTGAGTATAGGCATTTTTGGATAATAAGATAATAGAGTTTATATTTTGGGTGATTAAAAAAAAGTTGTAGAAATGGGGTGGTGATGGCTGCAAAACATTGTGAATTTAATTAAAGCCAATGAATTGTACATTTAGAAAGGTCAGTTCTATGCTATATACATTTTATCACAATTTTTAAAAAATAATGTAATATTAACAAAACCCATATAATTATACACTTTAAATGGGTGACTGTATGGTTATGACTGTATCTCAACAAAGCTGTTTTTTAAAAGGGGGATAAAAAAAGAAATTAGTTCATTAGTCATTAAAAGAGATAGAGGAATCTTAAATGCATATTGCTAAGTGAAAGAAAGAAGCTAATCTGAAAAACTGAAGACCTTCTGATTCCAATTTCATGACATCTGGAAAAGGAAAAACTCTTTGAGACAGTAAAAAGACCAGTGGTGGGGCTGAACTGTGGAGCAGTGGTAAAATACAACACTCTGTAAGGCAATCCCACGTAAGAAGATTCCTAGTTCAAGGCTGGAGACCTCCCCGAGTATGCCAGGCTTCCATGTGTTCATAATCTGGGGCTGGTTGAAGGAAAGGGTGAGGGGTGGATCTTGCCATCAAGACACTGCTGGAAGTACTCTCTCTCATTTGTGGAAGAAATACATAAATAAAATAAAATAAAATAAAGATTAATAGTTGCCAAGGGGATGAAGGATAGAGAAAAGGATGAATGGGTGAAGCATAGCACATTTTTTTAAGAGGTTTTTGCTATAGGGCACGTGTGCTCACCAGACAGACTGAGAGAGACAGAGAGACAGAAAGCGAGAAATCACCCCCCCAGAGGGGATGGCCATGCCACAATCCCTTCCCCTTCCCTCTCCTCTCAGGATCTTGGGCATGCACGCACATGTGCCCAGCGTGAGTTTTAAGCCACCGAGTCTGGGACTCAAACTGCGGTTGACTATGTGGGAGTCCAGCGACATAGCGATTACACTAACTGCTGGTCCCAAGTATAGCACATTTTTAGAGCAATGAAACTATCCTATATAATTCTGTGATGGTGGACACATGACATCACACATTTTTCAAAACCCACAGAATTACATAACACAAAGGGTATATATGAATATAAAATATAAACTTTAGTTTATTATAATGTATCGATATTCATTTATCAATTGTAACAATTATAACACACTAATACAAGATATTAATAATAGGAGAAATAGAAATTGTGTATAGGTTGGGGGGTATGTGAGAACTCTGTACTTTCTGCATAATTTTTCTGCAAAGCTAAAACTGCCCTTAAAAAAAGTTCTATTCCAAAAATGCACACTATACACAAGAGACTACACTGAATTTTATCCTCATGATTCATAAGACTATTCACTTAAAAAAAAAAAAGACTATTCACTTTAAATACAAGTTATAATTTTACATTAGATGAAAAGGAAGTGCTGATTCTTTTAACACTGTAAAATATCAGGCACTACTGAATCATCTTATTATTCTATATATCCTCTCCCTACTTCATCATCTCTTCCACCCCCAACAGAATTATTTTATGACCTAAATTTCTGTATTCACATAACTACTTCCATCTTGATACTCTTTGAAGATTCCATAGTCTTTGGAAACATTTCTTTAATTTATGCCAAAATTCCAGTCCAATTTTAATTATGAATTAGTGACATTATACCAATTGCCATACCTCCTGCTTTAATTAATTTTCTACAAGATATCATTGTATCAGTTACTTAAGTCTGTTCATTTTATACATCCTTTTGAAAAAATATTGTTCTCTAAGACACTGATGAGTCAACAAAGATTAAATTGGACATCATAACTGTCCCAGAGGAAAGGTAGCTAGTATATTTAAAAACAACTCTTCCCCGGTTTCTAGTTTAAAATAATCGTCCCCCCACAACTCTTTTTTTTTTTTTTTTTTTTTTTTTTGCCTTAGGGTATGTGCACTTGCCAAAGAAACAGAGACAGCGAGAGGGAAAGTAAGAAACCGCCCCTCACCCCCAGGGAAAATGGCCACTCTGCAATCCCTTCATTTTCCTCCTGGGATCTTGGGCACACATGCACACATGCCCAACATGATTTTCAAGTCATCAGGTTCTGGACTTTAGCGACGTAATTGCTATCCCATCTGCTGGGCCCTCCTAATCTTTAACACTGTATAAACTTCTTTAACTGTTACCTTGGTCTTTTCCAGCTTCATCTATGTGTTGAAAATCTTTTAGTATTTGAAGGTTATAGAACCCCTCTCTGCAATGCTGAATAACTTTCTTTGATCCATTCTTGATGAGATAATCCATTAGCGTAAGGGATTTATACACATGGCGCCAGTTCTTTCCATGGTCATTGAGTCTGTGCCATAACATATTCATAATCTCTGAGAGAGAAATTGTGTTGAAAGTCAAGTCACTGATATCTAACATCAGAGAACTAGAGGGACCCCAAGGGTCATTAGAAGTTGCTTCCCTGACTTTTATTTCAGCATCTGAGTAGTTTTTCACAAAGTTTTTTACTTGTCTCCTGAATGCCATAGGTAAAATAAGTTCAAAGGTGAAATGAGGAATAACAGCAAAGAAACTGGAGTTTACTTGATTGGTTTATCAAACTCTTGACAGGTAATTGGTCCCCAGTGCTGTTGCTCCCAAATATAAATGATCAATCTCCATGGTGATAAAGTATCAATTTCCTGCAAGGAAAGTACAAATGACATTTAAGTTAAAACATTTTTTTTAAATGTCTGTAGAAGACCAAAGTCAGTCTGAAAAATCTAGGTTTAGTTTCTAAACCAGTCCCTCACTTATATCATCATAAGAACTGAGAATACCACATAAATGTTACTAGAATAGGTATGGGAAAATCCCTCATAAGGGATTGGCTTATATCATTTAAAGGAACATAAGTGGTCTTTCTAGTCCTAAAAGTTCCTACAGAAAATATCAACCTCTTCAGTCAAAAATATAAGGATTATGAAACATCACATGGACAGCAGACAATATTTTAAAAAAATGGAACCTGTACTCTGACATCTAAGGTATGTTGTCATGTATAAAAATATTATTTCCTCAAAGTAATGAAAATAGCAGTGAAAATTGAGTTTAGAATCAGCAAGTGACCCAATGGTTGTACCCTGTTTTAGATCTGCAAGCCATTAAAATCAGATCTAAATATGGTCTGCTTTGTTGTTAACCTAAAAAGGAGGAAGGGCAACTGTTAAGACAAATAGCTGCACCTTGGTAGGCTCCGCAGCTAACTCGTAGAAGCTTAAAACCAGTATTTTAGTTCCTATAAGAGTCAGTCTGAAAAATCTAGGTTTAGTTTCTAAACCAGTCCCTCACTTATATCATCATAAGAACTGAGAATACCACATAAATGTTACTAGAATAGGTATGGGAAAATCCCTCATAAGGGATTGGCTTATATCATTTAAAGGAACATAAGTGGTCTTTCTAGTCCTAAAAGTTCCTACAGAAAATATCAACCTCTTCAGTCAAAAATATAAGGATTATGAAACATCACATGGACAGCAGACAATATTTTAAAAAAATGGAACCTGTACTCTGACATCTAAGGTATGTTGTCATGTATAAAAATATTATTTCCTCAAAGTAATGAAAATAGCAGTGAAAATTGAGTTTAGAATCAGCAAGTGACCCAATGGTTGTACCCTGTTTTAGATCTGCAAGCCATTAAAATCAGATCTAAATATGGTCTGCTTTGTTGTTAACCTAAAAAGGAGGAAGGGCAACTGTTAAGACAAATAGCTGCACCTTGGTAGGCTCCGCAGCTAACTCGTAGAAGCTTAAAACCAGTATTTTAGTTCCTATAAGACTGGTAAATTTGAAGAAAAGGTTAAGAAAAGTAGAAATATAAGGATTAAACATTGTCAATGATAAGATTCAAATAAATCTGACATGCACAGGCTGATACTCCTAAAACCTGCCGTGGTCAGCGTGTCTGTCAGATCTCAAAACAAGTATACACAAGAGACCCAATGATACCAAATACATTAAAACTTAATAAAACATATGCAGCCCATCAACTTTTTATGATGCTTGTAAATGATCAATTTATGGTTTACATGAAAACCATTCCTTTTTCTTTTTTTCATTACTTTGCATTAAGGTATGTCAGTTACTTTGCAATTTCCCTAGTGATTCATCACTGATGGCTACCAAGATAGTGTACCAAATTGATTTCAAGCCTTGACGAGCGTCCAAACCCAATGAAGCCTACACGATCTATAATCAGATCTTACTTGAGAAACTGCACACATGCAAAAGAAAAAAACGTTAAAATCCGTAACAAATGTGTTTGTTATTTTTAGTTTGTTTCCCTTCCTTGACCTTCTCAACTAGCTCAGGCTTGATTAATTTCAGCATACTGAAGGAAGACATAAATTTTCAGAAGCATCCTAAATGAACTATCACTTCTTTCTTTAAAAATAAAGAGAAAATTAACCTTTCTGTTTTGTTGTTGTTCTTGCCTTTTTTGGGGAGGCGTTGGTAATAATGAAACAGTACCCTCAAATAAGGAAGACAGAAAACGTATCAGTTTAATTAAGATTTCTCAGAAAGAGACTATCATCAACCCTAGGAAGATCAGTTGCATTTCTACAACTTCTGATTTTTCTCTCATTTGCACTTCAAATACAGGCATTTTTATCGGACTCCCTCCTACAGCAAAAATCTGATTTACAATGTTCCTTTTTTTAATAATTATTTTATTTAACTTATTTATTTTAATTCAACCAGAGAAGGACAGAGAGAGGACGAGAGAAAGAGAAATAGACAGAAACAGAGAGAGAGAAAGTGAGAGAGCAAGCCATAAGGTCCACGACTCGAACCACCATCAGTCATGTGGGAGTCCAGCACCCTTAACCACAATGCCATCTCCCAGCGTCTATAACGTTTCAATAAGCTATTAAATTTTTTCAGTCATGAGTGTTTTCTTTTTCTATTGTTCTTTTCCCCTCTACCAAACTCACTCAATGCAGAGATGCACTTTGACATTGGCTCAGAGCAACAAATATTGATCTGTTTCTTCTTTAATCTATTAAAAAAAAAATCCTGCTAGAATCATAACTTGTTGTAATTGAACAACGGCTATTAAAACCTGTTTCTTTTTTCCTTTTTACATAGCTACTTATCTATTATTTTGGAGAGACAATACTAATTTTTCAGATTTTCTTTTATTCGCTAACCTGCATTTTTAAAAACTTTGAAAAGGTTTTCTTAACTCTTTGGTAAAGAAAAAAATATCAAAATAATATCCTTCTAATCCAATGTAGTAATTTAAAATAGTTATGCTTGACATCATACCAAAAATAAATATACTTCCAACCATTAGAAAAAACACAAAGTGGGCCAGCTGGTGGCCTAGTGATTAAGGTGGCTGGATCCTACATAGCCGACTTTGTGGTTAGAGTCCCAGATTTGGCAGTTAAAAATCACACTGAGTGAACATACATTCCCAAAATTCTGAAAGGAGAAATAGAAGAGAATGGACCATGGTGTGATCAGCCCCCATGGGGGGTGCTTTCTCACTTTCTCTCCATGTATCTCCTCCACTCCCACCCCCAGTGAGCATATGTGCCCTCTGGTAAACTAAAAAAAAAAGAAAAGAAAAACCACAAATTAAAATTCTGGGTAAGTGAATTAATATCACTAACTAATGCAGTGATAAGGACTTTACATTGTGACATGAACATAGAATATGTAAAATACCATTCTATTGTCTTTTCAGACTAACAAAGAGTTCAGTTAATAGATGTTAGTTGTAAATTATGTCAGTTTATTTTCTTTGAACACTTAACTTCATCCAAGTGCTTCGTTTACACAGACCATCAAATAACCTTGAGAATGGGGGCCAGCAGGTGCCACGGTGGTTAAGGCATTGTACTCCCACGTGGCTGATCAAGGTTCAAGTCCCAATCTGGTTGCTTGATATTCACATCAGGTGTGTATGCATGTGTACCCAAAATCCCAGGAGGAGAAGAGAAAAGGGATTACAGCATAGCCATCCTCCCTGAGGGGTGATTTCTCACTTTCCCTTTCACTATTTTCCCTAGCAAGCACACATGCACTATGGCAAAAACCTAAAATAAGTAAATAAGAAACCTAGAGATTATACTAATAGCAATGTAACATCTGAGATAAATCAGTGCCTAAAAGAGTAAATTTCCACATCTGAATCTCAGTTATCTAGCTACTCTATTCACTGTGATATTTAGAAAGAGGGGGAAGAAGTAACATTAATTCACGTCACAAATCTGTATTGAGGTCTTCACTGACCTCACAACTTAGATTTCTCCATCACACTCTTTTCAGCACCTGGTTAATTTCTTCATGGCACTGATAATGATTTGTGCATACATATTTGCCTTGCTCATTGTTACTCTGTATCACCAAACTAGAGTTACTTGAGGGCAAGAACCCTGGCCATTTTATTTACCACTGTAATCCGATGTCTAATACTTAACTAGCAATAGTAGATATTCAAGAAACATGTTGAGTGAATGACTGAATAATGGAATGATTCTGCTTTGGAATAAATCTGCACTGATTCTACAGTTCAGATGATAAGCATGACATTTTTAAAGTAAAATCTAGCTCTGTCCAGAAAAATTCAAGAGTTTCAAGCAAGTATTTGCAAATCAACCAACAAATTTTTCTTGAGTACCTACCATTTTATACAGTTCTGCGGAGAAATACAAAACACAATCCCTATACAAAAAACAAAAACACCTTACCACTTAGTTAAGGAGTTTTCTCCCTTAAATAATTCCAAAGCAAACAAATTATGAGGTAGAAAAGTCTTCTACTCTTTTGGAGTCTGCCCACTTCCACAGTGTTATTTCCTTCCCCCCACTTTCCTGAATCATTAACAGAACCTCAACATAGGTTATTGTCAGATGGTCTTATCTAAACTCTCTGATTCTGGACAAGTTGTGGAATTCAATTTGGGGGGATTTTTGAAGAGTATTGCAGTGCCTATACCATAGATTACATGATACCTACAGTAAGGCAGTCAGTCAAGTCTGCCCCAAAGACATGTAAATATTTGGAACAAAGACTAAATGGCTTTATTTCAGGTCAAGTTTTACCACCAAATGAGTTGTGAGGAGGTTACCAGTTTTCCAAAACTTTTTGTATTTCAGAATTGAGAATACGGGGGCCCAGCAGGTGGCATGGTGGTTAAGGCACTGGACACTCCCAGATGGCCAACCATGGTTCAAGGCTCAGACCTGGTGGCTTGCTTTCTTGCTTTCTCACTCTCTCCCTCTCTTTCATTAAATTAAATGAATAAATAAAATTAAATAATTCTTTTAAAAAACTGAGAATTGAGGAACTGATTCATCTGAGGATTTAAGACAATAATGACTATAGCACATCAGAGATTGAGTGCCCAGAGGCATCTCATAGTACCTAATAGTACTATGAGAAGAAATCAGGTCTGTTGTTTGTCCAGGCTCTGCCTACAGAGATGAGTCTGCTCAGGAGAAAACAAGCTCTGGCCAAGGTTACTAAGAATGGTACTAGAGACTACCCTGGCACTAGCTGGTGTTGTTTTGATGCAAAGAACACTGCAAGAGGCAGAAACTCTTTTTTGAGCTCCACCTGTGTGTTCATTCATTTAATAATTTCCCAGAGTTGGGGCCAGCAGATGGCATAGTATTTAAGGCACTGGACTCCCATATAGCTGACTGCAGTTTGAGTCCCAGACCCACAGGCTTGAAACTCACACCAAGCGCATGTGTGTGTATGCATGCTAGAGAGAACAGAGAAGGAATTCAGGGGTAGATATGGGGGGAGGGAGATTTCTGGCTTTCTGTCTGCCTGTCTTTCTCTATGGGGAGTGCACACACCCTGTAGCAAAAATATCTCTCAGAAGTAATAATGATGATTTCCCATATGGCAGGCTTCATCCCAGAAACTGGAGAAACAGGTGCACACAACACAGTCCCCATCCCTGGAAGAAATGGGTGCTCTCTACTGAATGCCCACAATGTGCTCATAGGCTTCATCTCACTACTTCAGTCAGGATCCAAAGGCATGGATTTGAGGTCCTGCTCTGCCATTTCCTAACTAAGGCTTAACTTCTCTGGACCTCAGTTCCCTCATCAGCAGCATAAAGAATAATCACCAGACAAGGTCGTGGAAAGGAAGAAACGAGACGCTTTAGAAAGAATTTTGAACATGGAAGGGGAAGGCTGAGGGAGAATCAACTTCTGGTAAGCAGGGTCTTCCCCTCGGCATCCACTTCATTCATTCAACATCCACGTCGGGACGACCCGCAGTGTGCCCAACGGGCCCTGTGCCGGGTGCTGCCCTAGACAGGCCGCGGCGCACCGCAGCGGGGGCCCTAGGCCGAGGAAAAGCTTTTAGGAGGGAGAGAAGCCATGGCGTCCCCTCCCTCACGCACGGAGCCTCGGGGCAGCCCTCCCGCTCGCACCCGGACTCAGGGCGAGGGCGCGGGCGGGAACAGGAGGCTGCTGGCCGGGCGAGTTCCGGCCCGGGGTCCAGCTCGCACTCCTGCAGAGGTTGTTACCTGAGGGGAAGGTTGGGAGGGACTTTTCCCGCTCAAATTCACACTGCCTCGTTCCCAGGCTGCTCTGCCTCCGAGAACCAGGCCCGAGCGCCCACGCCGGAACCCACTTCCGCTTCCTCTGCCCCGCCTCCGCACTTCCGGCCGGCCTGGTAGGCGCCTCTCCCAGGACCTTAATTAAGCAAGATGGACGCCGAGGCGTGAAGTACCCCAGCTGGAGAAGAGCGAGCGGAATGAAGGTAAATGTCTTTGTTTCAGAATCTGTCGGGCTGTGGCACTGCCCTACCTCCTCTCAAAGGACGAATGTTCGCCATCGGTGTTACTAGTGTCATTTTTTTTTTGGGGGGGGAGGTTTTTACTATAGGGCGTGCGTGCTCACCAGAGAGAGACAGAAAGCGAGAGATCACCCCCAGGGGGGATGGCCACGCCACAATCCTTCTCCTCCATTCTTCTTTCAGGATCTTGGGCACACGCACCCGCGTGAGTACAAGCCACCGGGTCTAGGACTCGAACCACGGTTGACTACATGGGAGTCCAGCGACATAGCCAGTACGCCAACTACTGGAACTACTAGTGTCATTCTAACTGACTAAAAATGCCACCCGCACCTGATTGCCACCTCAAAGGATGAAGAATAGTCTAGAGATGAAGAGCAGTGAGATGGAATGTTTCCAGTGACTGCAGCTTCGGGTACCACTGCTGGCAGGCCTTGTTCTATTCCACTCATCTTCGTGAGCACCCACTTGGTGCTGGGCATCCGGCCAAGCAGTCAGGACACAGAGATAAAACACAGGCCTGTGCTGGTTGAATTTACAGGCCAGGGAAGGTGACAGGGACCATCACTGAAGATTGCGACAAGATACCTATTGCGTAATAAGACACGAGCGCATCTAATTTTGCCAGTGAGTATTTAAGAGCAGGTTTTCACAGAAGAATTCTGAATTGAATCGTAAAGGCTGATGGGGGCTTTACTGGATAGACAAAGTAGAAGAGGACATTATAGGCAAAGGACATATCGTATGTAAAGTCATGAAAGCTGAAAGAGCCTATTATCTGAGTAAAACTACAAATATTGTAGTTACTATGGCTGTCTCAAAGCCTATTAGTAGAGCGGTGGAGGGAAATGAATTGGTAGAGGGAAATAAAATCATGAAGAGCCTCATTCGTACTACTAGCTGTTTTTAGGCATTGACAATATAATCAAACCCGTGTTTCAAGGCACATTGGTGACCAAGTGGAATATTGACTAAGCTGGGGAGAAAAAGACTTGAAGGATAGGAAAATGATTAGTAGATAAAAGCATTTGTTTTCAGCACTCACTACTTTGGTTATAATTATAATATAGATGGCATTATTTGATACTGGCATGTAGATAGGTAAGTACAATGTAAAACAACAGGCGATAATGAAAAAAATTTGGTGTGTTTGAAATATTGTTTAGCTGGCTATAATACAACGTAATGGGGAAAGTAGCCAGAGGGAAATTGGCTACTGGAAAACAGATTATTCAGGGCCCTGAATGTCTTGCTAAGGTATTTGGGCTTTATTTTACAAAGAAGTGGAAACAAACAATATCTTATGCATTGAGTTGTAGTTCATGAAAATTTTAAATTTATGTTTTATGTACATTTCAATAGAATACTGTAAAGTAGGCATTATTCCATTTTACAGATGCACAAGATGAGTTTGAGGTATATGCATTTATTCTGCTTTTTTTTTGGAGAGGTTTTTTCCTATAGGGTGCATGCGCTCACCAGACAGAGACATAGAGACAGAAAGTGAGAAATCACCCCCAGGGGGGATGGTCACACCATAGTCCCTTCTCCATTCTCCTCTCGGGATCTTGGGCACGCACACACATGTGCCTGGCATGAGTTTTAAGCCACTGGGTCCGGGATGCGAACTGCGGTCGTCTACGTGGGAGTCCAGCGACATAGCCATTATGCTAACTGCTGGTTCCCCATTTATTCTGCATTCTTAACCACCTGCTATATGTCAGCCATAAGAGTGTAAGAAGTTATAGTTTAATAGTCTCACAGAGGAAACAGGAATAAGTCGGCACTTATAATATGTTGCCATGATAAAGGCAGGCATAGAGCGTTGTGAGCATCAAAAAAAGGGACTTGTCAGGTCAGCAAATAGCATGGAAGTTAAGAAACTAGATCCTGGGACCAGCAGTTAGCGTAATAGCTATGTCGCTGGACTCCCACGTAGTCAACCGTGGTTCGGGTCCCGGACCCGGTGGCTTAAACTCACGCTGGGTGCGTGTGCGTGCATGCCCAAGACCCTGAGAGGAGAATGGAGGAGAAGGAATTGTGGTGTGGCCATCCCCCCTGGGGGTGATTTCTTGTTTTCTATCTCTCTGTCTCTGTCTCTTTCTGGCATGCACATGTGCCTCATAGCAAAAACCTCTAAAAAATAAAAATAAAAAAATAAAAGATTTATCTAAATCTACATAGTCAGGGAAGGCTTCTTGGAGGAGGTGAACTCAAGCTGAGTTTGTAAGAATGAACAGATTATAAGAATTGTCCATAAATATTCCATTAGCAAGCTGGAACTTGAATGCAAATCTCCTGTATCCAGTTCTGTCCTCTTTCTCCTACCCTAAGGACCAATGTATGGCACTTGATTTTGAGCTCCATTGACATTCTCAGTCACAAGTCTACTTGTTACATTTTGAGGTCAGAGATTCCAATTTTTACTTTTTAAACTCATTTATTTTATATTTTCTTTTAAAATGAATCTCTGCATGTGCTCAAAAAATAGGTTGGGGCACCAGCAGGTGGCATCGCGGCTAAGATATTGGACTCCCTCATGACCAACTGCCGTTCAGGTCCCAGACCTGCTAGTTTGCTTTCTCTCTCTCTCTGATGAGCTCATGTGTACAATAGCAAGTTAAATGATAAATAATAAAATTAAATAAATCATTCTTTGAAAAAAAAATAGGTTAGAAGTAGAACAGAGGAATTAGAGGAAGAATAGAATGCTAGTTGTAAAAGCTCTGGCAATAAGTAATGAAGGCCGAAACTAAAACAGGAACAAGGGACATGATGTGATACTCCACCCTGCTCGCTCTTATACTTTTACACATAATAGTAAAGTGCAGAAGTTACTAGGCTTGACTTCAAATATACATGGGAATGAAGGAGGAAGAAGAGTGAACAGTGACTCAGATTTCTTTCTTGAGCCACCATGCAAATGGTTGTTGCTGTTTACCAAGATGAGGAACTTGGTCTGAGAAGCAGGTTGGGCAGGAAAGATGATGAGCTCTATTTCGGACATTTTGAATTTGAGGAGCCTGGGGGGCAGTCAGGTGAAGAGGTATATGAGACAATTGAGTAGAGAGAAGTGGGAGAAAGAAAAGGGTTTGGGGCTAGGTTCACAGACTTGAGAAGTGTCAGCATGTAGAAGGTGACTGAAGGAGCAGATGGAAATGGGAGATAGGGCAAGATCAGACTCCAGTCCCAGTAAGAGTGGAGAAGCCAGTAGTGGAACAAACAGTGTTGGGAAGGAGTTGGTTAGGTTGGCAAAAGTGTAAAGTGTTACCATCCTAGTGGAATTAACTCTGCTAAAGTGACACTATGAAGGGGTCTCTCTTCTCTGCTTTCCTCCATTTGGGGGCACAATCTAATTATAATACTGTAGCAACTACCAATGACATATTCTATATCATACCTCAGTTGGTTTTTTCCCTTTAATTTTCTTAACTCAAGAGTTTTATAAAAATGAGTGAAGTTTGCTTTCCACCAGTTCTCCTTCACATCTTCTTGGCTTGTTTTTTCTTGATTGTATAACCTCTCAACTTTGGAGGAGACTGTTTCCAAACTCTTGTCCTCTCTGTTTTCATTTTGTAAGTGGTGTTATCCAGTCTCATATCTTTAAACACTCTTTTATATCAACAACTCTCAAGGTTTTATCTTTAGCCTTAAACTCTCCTGACCTCCAAAATCAAAAACCATCTTGACCTTCCCCTCTCATAGACATCTTGAATTCAGTATAATCAAAACAGATTCCTTATCTTCCAAACCTGCTCCCTCACGATCTCTCCTGTCTCAGTAAATGACATTACCTTGCTTCTAGGTTCTCAAACCATGAACCTTGAAGTCATCTTGACCCCTTTCTTTGTCTCTTATACTTCACTTTATATCAACTTACCTTTGGAGTGCAAGGTGGCTACCAGGTCTAGATAATAAATGGCCTCTTGATACGGCATTCCAATACATGGTACAATAATATTATATGTTTCTCAACTTTATGATCACCCTGAATTTTTGGAATCCAACCACTTCCCACCACATCCACCATCCTGTTCTAAGCCACCGCCACCGCTTGCCTAAACTACTAGTGTAGACCACTAACTGGTCTCCCTGCTTCTGTTCTTGCCCCTTCACAGTCTCATCTCAACACAACAATCAGAACAATCCCTTAAAATGTACAACCCAAGCAAGATCATATCATGCCCCAGTTTAAAATCTTTTGTTAGGGGACCAGAAGTTGGCGTATGACTGTGTTGCTCGACTCCCATGTAGTTGACCACAGTTCAAGTCCCAGACCCAGTGGCTTAAACTCACGCCAGGCATGCGTGTGTGCGTGCCCAAGATCCCAAGAGGAGAATGGAGGAGAAGGGATTGTGGTGTGGCCATTCCCCCCAGGGGGTGATTTCCCGCTTTCTGTCTCTCTCTGTCTTTCTGGTGAGCATACACGCCCTATAGCAAAAACCTCTCCAAAGAAAAAAAATCTTTTGTTAGTTCCCAATCACGAGTAAAACCCAAAGACCTTGCCATGGCCAACAAGGCCTGGGCAAACTGCTCCCTCTCTGTGTTTCATCATGATTCTTCTCCACCTCACTCATTGTCAAGTATGCTCCTGCTTAAGGCTTGCCCCTAAACCTGCAAAAGTCATTTCCCCTGATAGCCATCAAGCTTACTCCCTCACTTCATCCTGGACTTTGTTCAAATGTCTTGCTCTTCCAATATAAAATCTCAGTCTTTATCTCAGTTGCCCTCCCCCCCCAATGACTCTTGCCCTGTTTTATTTTTCCTCCATGGCAGTACAGCCATCTGACATATTTACTGTTTCTCTCTTTCAGAATGTACCAGGAGGGTGGAAATTATGTTTTGTCCACTAATGCATTCCCAGCACCTAGAACAGGCCTAATACAGAACAGGTGTTCAGACCTTATTGACTGAATGAAAAGGGACTATTTGAGTCCACACTATTGAATCAGAAGTACACATTTTACTATAAAGTTGAATTAATCATAATTTCCATAAGAAGTTATGATATTAATAATGACCCTTCAAAAAGACTGTTGAAAATTTTTAAACAAGTATGGATTTAAAAGAAAATCTCTCCATTGCAGATAAATCCAGCTCTCACATACTCCTGCATCTTCTGAATTCCCTGCTATTTTCCCGAGTGTCTCAGAGTGTCTCTTCATGAAGACTGAAATGCTGACATTCTCACATTAGGGTCTTTATTCTTAGGCTTTGCTTTTGCACTCATTCAATTACAGAGCTGTTATTAAATAAACCACTGAAGTGGCCTTGCTTCTCTCCCGGGGTTCTCTATACCATGCCTGCCACCAGTGCATACCACAAAATACTCTTTTAAGATTTTTCTGTTCTTCACTCTGCCCCCGTACTTATGAGGGGAGAGGTGGTATTCTTCTCCCTCGGGGAGAGTACCCTGTAGAAATGTAGCTTCCTCAGTAGACAACAAACTGAAAACATCCATGATACTTTCTGTATGGCACCAATCAACATTTTCCCACTCCCCAGCCATGGACATTAGGGATTTACTATTTAACAATTTCACTGATCTGGGACTATTGAAGAACAAGTACTATGACCAGAAGATTTCAATGTCTGAAAACTTAATAGTGGAGCCATTTGAAATAATGGTGAGATCTAAGAGGATTCTTCTACCATGAAGACTGAAGGACTCTGAGGCCAACCACATTGAGAAGTTGTTGTTTTTAAATCAGTAACACATTGTTATCTTTAAAATTCTGTCATTTTGACATGTGGTACTTGGACCTAAGAAAAACCGACGGAGTTGCATTAGTACAAAGAAAGTCTATTATTAAGAGTTAGGAATAAAAGAGTATTTCCTTTAATCCATTTGACAAATATTTGAGCACCTACTACAGCCATGACACCCTGCAGATTCTTCTTTTGAAGAGAGATTTTTGCTATGGGGCATGTATGCTCACCAGAGAGAGACATAAAGTGAGAAATCACCCCTCCCACCCCAGGGAGGCTGGCCATGCTGCAGTCCCTTCTCCTCCATTCTCTTCTCAGGATTTTGGGTGCGCATGCACACTCACACACACACACACACACACACACACACACAGCATGACTC